CCCCTTGTCTCTGCCCTCCCTTCACCCCCCCCCTCCCCATTTGCAAACACTTTATTTCCATTTTTTCATTTTCTTAATATCGTATTATTTTAATTCCTAAATGTGTTTTGTAACTGGAAATGTGAGAAATATAAGTTGTTGATAGAGGATACAGTTATGCATTTGGCATTTATATTTATTAAAATATTACTTTTTATTAAGTGTATTTTGTCTTTGTAAGATGAATACCAGCAAAAAAAAAGGTATGTTCCAGCAAGTAACTAGAACTACAGTGACTTTTCATCCAGCGCTTTGTTCCATGTTCCTTGCTTGGTATACCTGCCTCACGCCTATAGAGGAGCCAGCCATGTCTGTTGTTTTCCTACGCAGGAACCAGGCACTAGACAGAGCAGATATTTACAAGCTGGGCACCAGAGTACTGCTGTGGCTTTGTAGTGTTTGTGTGTTCGTATAAGGGTCTGTCAGCCTCTCCTCCTAGGAGGTGCACTTCTTCAGGTACTGAATCACAATTCAGTTTAAGTTTCAGCCATTCAACCTTTCCCTGTCCACAGGATGGCATGTATTTCTTTAGATTTCTGACACTTGACTATATATATTTTACGGCTTTTGTAGGGTCTCCACTAAACTTAGAATTTCTACAAATATTGCTGAGAGTTTCTTAGGACTGATTCTACTTGTGAAGAACTTTTACCTAAATCATTTCATTTATGTTTGAAAGTTCAAATGAAACAGCCAAAATGAAACAAATGATGTTTTTTGATGGCAGTGTTAGTAGAAATGTTCCCATTTCATACAAGTAAAGTTGTCAAATAACAACTTAATTATCGTCAACGAGTAATTCTTTTTTTGTTTGTTTTATTTTTTGAGACAAGGTCTCGTTTTATAGTTCAGGCTGGCCCTGAACTCACTATATTGTTCCGGCTGGCCTTGAACTTACAGCGATCCTCCTGCCTTAGCCTCCTGAGTGCAGGGATTACAGGCGTGCACCACTATGCCTGGCAACAAGTAACGCTTAATACTGAAAGTTACTGGACTTTTTTTTATATTTATAAACAGTATTTTATTAACATAATGTTTACACCCTTCTTAGAACAAATTTTATAGTGATTTAGCATGTGACTCTATAAAAAGTGTATTATAGAATATTCAAGCTAAAACAGTGTCATTGAAAAGTATGCCAACTCTATCTTCATCTAGTTCTACCATAAGTATAAAAAGAAAAAATTATACAACAAAAAGCAAAAGGTTTAGTTTTGTTTTGTCAGCATCTACAAACAATACAGACATCATATGGTTTACATAGACTTTGATCCAGCCCAAGATTAAGACTGCAAAAATAAAGTCTTCAAATACCCATACAAGCTTGGCAAACCATCATTACAGGGTTTCGTTACAGGTAACCAGGCAGTTCATCATGCAGTGTGAAGCCACAGCTACAAATCTGGCTGTTTATAGTGGTACAAAGCGGCCAACATTATAAGCGACTTATGTTTTTTCATTATAGGTGCTACTATAAAAAGGCGCAAATATCTTACTCCTTGCACTGGGTCTTGAAAAGGCATGCTATTCTTAGGAGAAATAAGGCATGATACTCTTAGGAGAAATAAGAAGCATGATGGCTTGGATTTTTTTTTCTTTTTAAATGTCTAGGCTCATCTCCATAGCTGTTTCCCTTCTAGACGTCTCACTCGGGTTTTTACACACTTTAACAAAGCTCTATTACAAACTCAGAAGTTCTAACACTTAAGCGAATCATCCTATCGCCACCGACAAGCATTTTGTCAACCAGTCGCGCTCCCACTGGCAGTGCCTGCTGCCTGTCCCCTTCCTGAAGTCCTGCAGTTCTTCGCCTCCGCTGGCCTTTGCATTTGTCACCGTGCTGCACGTAGCTGGCCTCCAGCTGCACAGAGCGGCCCAACCCTGTCCCTGCAACCACAGAAGGCCCCGTGCACTCACGTCCTGGGTGCTGGTCTCTAAGGGGAAGACTTCAGAACACTGAGAAGAGTAAAGGAAGTAAGGCTAGGCGCCTGCTTCAATCACAGAGAAGGTAGATGTAATTATCAGACATTTAATAAGAAGAGGAGTTAAGGGCCGGGGATTCAGCTCAGTGGCACAATGCCTGTCTCGAAGCACAAGGTCCCGAGTTCAATTCCTGGTACCAAAAAAAAAAAAAAAAGAATAGGAGTCAACTAGATGAACTTGGACAAATCTATTAATGTGTGTGAATGCATTTGAATTTAACTAGCCATATAACCAAATGCATAATTTAATTGATATAGGCTCCTGTATAAATAATTGTAGTTCATTATAATCCATTAGATTGAAGGTATTATTTCTCATTTATCAGCAATATAATTTTACAATTTTTGCTTTTTTGCTGGAATTCTTCTTACAAAGACAAAATACATTTAATAAAAAGTAATATTTTAATAAGTGTAAATGCCAAATGCAGTTGTACTCAAGCTGATATAAAAGCAGTGCTGCAAAACGGCCTGGGGATGTGGCTCAGCGTGTGTGAGGTTCTGGGTTCAATCAAGAGAAAAATCTAAAAACAATGGGCTCAAATACATTAATATACTGTTTAACAACATTTGCCCAACAGTAGACTGCATATGTGATGGTGGTCCCATAAAATTTTAATGCAGTTGAAGAATTCCTATCACCTAGTGATGCTCTAAATATCCTTCTAAGGTAACGCAATACATTACTCATGAACTTGTGGTGATGTTGGTGTAAACAAACCTACTGCACTGCCGGTTGGGTAAAAGTACATATAATTATGTATTATACACAGTTACTCCATAATGATTGTAAATGACTACGCTGACAGTCTATATGTTTACTATGCTTTTTAATCACTATTTAAGAGCATATTCTTTTTTTTTTTTTTGGTACCGGGGATCGAACTCGGGACCCTGTGCTTGTGAGGCAGGCGGCGGCACCACTGAGGTAAATCCCTAAGATATATTGTTTCTATTCATGTAAAAACAGATGAACTGTTAGACAGCCTGAGGCAGGTCTATCAGAAAGTGTTCCAGAAAAAGGCACTGTTAGGGTAGGAGAAGACAGCTCCAGGAGTTGTACTGTCCCTGAAGACCTTCCAGTAGGACGAGAAGTGATGAAATAGAAGACAGGGACAATGACGATTCACACTCCATGTAGGCCTAGGTTACCGCATGTATGTGCGTGTGTGTGCGCGTGCGTGTCTTAGTTTTTAACAAAAAAGGTTTTAAAAGCTTTACAAGTATAAAAATTTAAAAATCGAAAAAAACTCATAGGATAAGGGCATAAAAAAGAAAAGTATTTTGTATAGCTATACAATGTGTTTGTCTTATAAGCTAAGTGTTATTACAAGGAGTCAGAAAGTTTAAACAGTAAAGTTTATAAAGTAAAAAGTTAGAGAAAGCTAAGGTTAGCTTATTAACGAAGAAAGAAAAATATACCCTTTGTTAATTTAGTGTAGTCAAAGTATGCAATATTTTAAAGTCTACAGTAGTGGACGGTCATGTTCGAGAACTTTATGTTCATTCACCATTTACTACAGCACCCAGAGTACCTTCCAGTCCTGCACACTCCATTCATGGTAAGTGCCCTACACGGGTGTACCATTATTTTTCCTTTTAGACCTTATTTGTAGTGTATCTTTCCTGTGTTGGGATACACAAATACTAACCATTATGTTACAATTGCCCACAATATATTATTTAGTAAAGCAACATACTCTGCATGTTTGCAGCCTAGGAGTGACAGGCTACATCATACTGCCTATGTGAATAGTGAAGTGGGCCATCTAGGACTGTGTTAGTTTGCTCTGTGACATTTGCACAAAGACAGGATCACCTAACAATGCATTTCTCAGAATGCATCCCTGATATTAAAAAACCTATGATTGTATTACTATTCCAGTAGCCCAAGTCAGAGAGTAAACTCGCCTTCCTTACTATGCTATTGAAAATTAACCCTAGAATTTTAAGGCTATTTTCTAAATTAATATAGCAAAGGGGTTCCAAAGGTTTTAATCAGATTACTGCTCATATTACAGTTGCTAGTTTTTACAAATTCAAGGGAATTCATTTAAAGCAAGTATTTCTTTAGCGGGGAACAAATAAGACAGTATTACTATAAAACTGATTTAATAAGTAGTAATTTAATTGTAAAATAAAACCATCTAACATATTTAACATGCTACGTACTTATTTCAGTGTTCACGATCCTGGAGACATCAGTGAAGCCCAATCTCTTTCAAAGCGCCATTATTTCATTGCACATACATTTGAGGTATTATAAATACGTTAGATAATTTTAGGTGCTCTCTTGGGGCAGCACATTAGTGTCTTTCTGGAGAGGGGTTAGGAAGCCCCCAGACACAAGTAAATCATCCTTTCAGCAGCCTGACTGATCTTGGAAGCAGATTATCAGTTGAATCTTTGAGGGAACAAAGGTCAGAACAATCCTTTTATTGAAAAGTTGAAACCTCAAGCAGAGGACCCACTCAGGTCATGCCTGCCTGCACTCCTGGCTCAGAAACAGTTGCAGAATAAGTGTGTGTTGCTTTAAGCTGCAAAAAGCTGTTTATATCAGTAGATGGTTCCACTCTGCTCCCATAGAATTTCTCTGTACTCGTTTTAGAATTTATTAGCAATTAATATTTTAATTCTTATCTAATCCTTATTCTTAAGGATAAATTTTTGTTAGCACCTTGGAGATTAAGACTGTTATCTGCATTTCTAGGGCATTTCACAATGCTTAGCAACTGGTAGTTATTCAGTAAATGTTTCTTGTCATGTATAAACTGCTGTGGCAGGAAGCCATCATAAAAGTAGTAACAGGAACCTCTGAAGAAGAGGAATAGATTAAAATTTTAAAAGAATTTTACCATTTCACATTTTGGAATTTGGGTATATTACATCGGACTGAAAAAAACACTGTGCTAATACTGTTTCAACACATTGAGAATAATTGTAGAAGTGCAGTTAAAAATGACCTTCATTGCTTCTTAGGCCATTTTTCAATATTTCAATGGAATGAGAAGAATGGAGGGAAACAAATAGTTCCTCAGAATAAAATATGAGGTAAGTACAACAGCATGAAACTATAATATTCCAAAAGGGAAAATATGGAGTTAGCTAATACCAAAAGACATGAGTACTTTAAAATAATTTGGTACACTTTTTAGGGATACAGTACAGTTACATTCATTGTTGGGATCATGTACCTTTACATGGCAAGTCTTGATTCTCATATTTTTATTGTAGTCAAATACAGACAACCTTAATCGCATTTTTGTTGTTGTTGCTTTTTGAGACAGGGTCTCACTATGTAGTTGAGACTGACCTGGAACTCACTGTGTAGCCCAGGCGGGTCTTGAACTCACAGCGATCCTCCACAGTTACATTCATTGTTGGGATCATGTACCTTTACATGGCAAGTCTTGATTCTCATATTTTTATTGTAGTCAAATACAGACAACCTTAATCGCATTTTTGTTGTTGTTGCTTTTTGAGACAGGGTCTCACTATGTAGTTGAGACTGACCTGGAACTCACTGTGTAGCCCAGGCGGGTCTTGAACTCACAGCGATCCTCCTGCCTCAGCCTGCCCAGTGCTGGGATTACAGGCGTGCGCCACCACACCCGGCAGTCGCATTTTTAAAACCATTTGAAGATGAACAATTCAATAGTATTGAGTGTATTCAAAAGGCAGTGCAAACACTACCGAATTTCTGAATACTTTTATCACCCAAAAAGGAAACCTTCTACGATGAAGCAGTCATATCCCAATTCCTCAACCCCCCAGTACCAACAGACACTAAAATACAGTGTGAATCAACAGTGAAAACTTTTATGTTAATAAAACACTTAGGCAATGGCCAGGGACTTAGCTCAGTGGTGCTGCACCTGCCTTGCAAGAACAAGGTCCTGAGGTTGATCCCGGGTAGCAAAAACACAAAAAAACAAAAAAACAAAAAAACGTCAAAATCCTATGACTCCATTAATATGAAAGATCCAGAATAGGTAAATTCAGAGAATCAAGTATTTATCATAGACTTGAAATAAAGATTAATGAGGAGTAATTGATTAATGTTTATGATAAAAAGTTTTGGAGCTAGATAATGATGATGACTGAACAACACTTTTTTTTTTTTGTACTGGGGGATCGAACTCAGGACCTTATGCTTGTGAGACAGGCAGCAGCACCACTGAGCTAAATCCCCGGCCTGTGAACATTTTATATGCACTTAACCCTACTGAATTGCACACTTTATAATATAAAACTTTATGCCATACGGATTTTACCATGATAAAAAGGTACTAAAGAAATCTAAATAGTAAACTATGGATTTTAATCCATAATAATTTATCAATATCGATTCATTAATTATAAGATATATACATATTAATAGAAGTTATTAATAAGAAAGTGTGTGTAGGTGGTTATATGGGAATGTTCTGTACTCTCATCTAGATTTTTCTTAAAATATAAAAAATGTTCCATAAAATCAAGTCTATTTTAAAAAATTACAAGGAACAAAGGCAAAAGAAAAAAGTACACGGAGTTTAGGATCAGAAGGTGCGAATCCTGGCCCAGTTCCTTACCTGCATCAATGTCTAGTGCTGTATAAATCATATGAAGTTGCCCAGCTTCAGCTCAAAATTGAGTTGTTTTTCTCAAATTTATGTCACTTCTACAATGACCACATAAAAGCGAACGCTCCAGTGTTGTAGACTATTGTAAGACACATATCATGGGTATATGGATATTAACAGCCGTAAGATAGGCTTTGGAGTTTCTCTTGACTGACACTATTTGTCAATCAGCAGTATGATGCCACTTGGCCCAGGGATTCCCAACTCTTAACTCTGGAATGTCCAAGAGACAAGGCCACCTCAGCACAGATGCACCTCTCATAAACCTTAATCACAGCTTACATTACGGAAGAGTTTGATATGTGTTTACGAAAGAAGCACTTTGTAACTGACAGGACTGAAAACAGATATTTAAAAAGTGAAGATGCCCTCAAATGCAGAGAATGGTCTCCATACAGAGACCTTCTTGGCCAGGGCTCATGTGATTCCTAACTGTATCTGACCTACGCCACTGGCCTGGTCCCTCTGCCCATCTTGTAAGGAGGCCTACAGAGTAATCTGCGTGAGCCCCAGGGGGGTGTCGGAGACTCATCAATAATGAGAATGGGACTGCAGGGGACAGGCAGCTCCTGGGACCAACCTCATCCCCTCCCTCCCCTCCCCAAACATGACAGTATAATCCCCAGAAACCTGAGAAACAGAGCAAGTTTTAGCTCTGACAGACTTCAGTGTGAGTATGCAATGCTTTGGAATGAATGTCTCTGTGGATATATGTAAAAGAGGTTTGACCATGTCATGTCATAAAAGAGAATACAATAAATCTGAACAGAGAATGGATGTATTTGAAAAGAAATATTTTAAAGAGACAGGGAATTAGAAATAGAGGATTGGGTGGTGCAAAGGGAAAGATGGAGCTTTTCATTCAGTGGTGTCTCAGAGTCACCCTCACTGCTGTCATTAGCTCTCAATGTAACTGAGCCACAGAGGCACAATTAAGACTGGAGTCCTCACTCTTGACCCTCGTGACTCCTGAAAATGGCAATATGGATGTATTATCTGTCATTGTGTGCTTCTGGAGAGGACATTAAGGGGATATTACTGGGCAAAGAATGTGATTCCACACAGGAAGAGCCCTGTAGCCTTCAAGTCCCTTGTTACTGGTTACTCCGTACAGGTGGCAGCTCATGCTGAAAGCGCAGACTACAATCCTCACCTTTCAGTTGCACTTACTAGTGAAGATGGATGTTGAAGGGAAGAAAGCAGAGCTCCTGGCTAGAAGTTCCTCTCGCTGTCAGGTAAAGAGCAGACCCTGTGTAGAAACTGCTGATGAAATTGAATGCAACTGCTGCCAGAACATGAAGCGGAGATCGTTTGAGCTGGTCTCAAAGAACTGGAAGGCCACACTGGAGAGGTGGAGCGAGTCCATAGTCTATAGGTGGACATAATGGATATTTTAGAAAAAGTCTTTCAAAGTCCCCTTAATAATTCCAAAACTGCCTAGGTTCAGTGGGAATTCTGGTGTTTCATGGCAGAAACCTCAGCCATGTTTGCCAGGCAGTATGTATGAAGCCATACCAAGAAAGCACATGAAATTTTGGTTGCTTCAGGTATTATGTGTCCAGAGGCTAGAGGATCCACATGAAGCTTCTTTTTTTTTTTTCTTGTTTTATTTTTTTTATTTATTTTTCTTTTGATTTATATACATTTTTATTGAATTCTCAAAGAGACAACAACAGAACACATAGGGCAGACACTGGCACCCTTGTTTACAGGAAGCTGAAGTTCAGTGGTTAATGTCATACAGAGAGGAGGGGAGCTGGATTCGAACCCATGCCTTCTTGGTTTTTTTTTTTTTTATTGAGTTTATTGGTACATTTAGGGATACAGTACAGTTACATTCATTGTTGGGACCATGTACCTTTACATGGCAAGTCTTGATTCTCATTTTTTCCCCTTACCTCTGCCCTCCCTTCACCCCCTCCTCCCCTCCCCATCTACAAACACTTTATTTTCATCTTTTCATTCTCTCACATTTTTTCTTTTCCCTTTTTGTTCTTCCCCTACGTATCACACCTTCCCTACACCTTTAGCTCCTTTCTTCCCATTTCTAAATGTCAGTAATCTTATTAGAATCTTATGCATTGCTGCAGAATATTCACACCAGGGAAACTATTTGGTATTTATACATGTGGGACTTATTTATTTCACTTAGGAGTATATCTTCAATATGTATCCATTTTCCTATGAATGAATCTATTCTCTCGCTCTTTATGGCTGAGTAATATTCCATTTTATAGAAAAACCACAACTTCTTTATCCAGTTTCCAACGGATGGGCAAATAGGTTGTTTCCAAGATTTAGCTATTACAAACTGTGCCGCTATAAACATGGGTGCACATACTTCTCTGTGATATGATTCTTTTAGTTCTCTTGGAAAGATACCCAACAGAGGGATGGCTGGGTCAAATGGAACCTCCAGTCCAAGCTCTTTGAGGTATCTCCATATTGATTTCCATAGTGGTTGCACTAGTCTGCACTCCCACCAACAATGGAGGAGGGTTCCTTTCTCCCCACAACCCCGCCAACATTTGTTATTGTGTGATTTCTTGATAGCAGCCATTCTTTGTGGGGTGAGGTGGAATCTCAGTGTTGTTTTCATCTGCATCTCTCGAATGACCAGTGATGTGGAACATTTTTTCATATATTTTCTTGCTGCTTTTACTTCTTTGTCTGAGAAATGTCTGTTCATTTCGGATGCCCATTTTTGGATCGGGTCTTTATATTTGGGGGGACTGATTGTTTTGAGTTCTTTATATATCCTTGATAATAGTCCTTTGTCTGAGGTACAGCTGGTAAAAATTTTTTCCCACATTAAGTCAGTTCAAATATTAGCGTCAGCATGGCAAGTTTAACATACACAGACATTTGCATAAAAACTTGAGGGTGCAATTTATAGGGGAAATCTTACAGTTCTTAACTGATCAAATTTTGGGAGAATTAATATGTTTATACTATTGTTTTCTCTATCTGTTAACACATATTTCTCTTGAAAAAGGCTTCTTTCCATTATAAAGGAGTGATGGTTATTTCAATGACCCACATTCTTTTGTCAGCCTGTGAATGATTTTTCTCACTTTATCTTTCACTATGTTATAAACCTAGTTTTCCTCAGATTCATTGTTCACACTTGTTTTTCTCTGCCCATTTTTATACAGTGTTTGAGTCTTGTTTCCTTGAATTTCCAACTTTTGGATGGCAGATAGGCCCCCCCAAAGAAGCATAAGTAGGCGATAAGACCAAAGGAGGATGAGAGTGCCCAGGGTATTTTACATCTCAGCATCAAGCGACTTCTGCTTTCAACCGCTACACCCTTCTCTTGAGCCAGTTCCCCTCCCATTAAACTACCACGTTCCAGGTCCTGCACACCACCTCTAGGATCAAGGAACACTACTTGTTGGTCAAAGGTATGTTGCTGCTTCAGTGGAGAGCTGACTACCCAAAAGAGTGTTAAAAATTGAGCAGAAGTATGAAGCATTACCTCTGGAATGCTTTTTCTAAAAGAGCAGTCATGTTCATAAGAAAACACTAATCTGACCAAGTTTCTCCTTTCAACCACTAAAGATGGATATGCTGACTGTCAAGTATATTGGGGTTTATTCTACTGTTTTGTACATTTTTATAAATTGCATTTCTTATATAAATACCACACCTATATGTTTGAATACCCAAGTGAAATTGATCAGTGTTTACCAAAATTTAAATAAAAATATCATTAGAAGTAAAAAATTGTAATTGAGAAATATCAATTGAAGCCTTACTCCATAGCCATTCTCCATAGATCAACTAAGTTTGGAGGTCAGTTTCACTCTCAATTAGGTAAATGACATCAGCATCGTATGTAAACTCATCCAAGCCATAAATGAAAGCATAAATGTTTTACCACTACTCCATTCATGCTAACAAGCAAGTTTCCTTGGATAAAAAAACAGAAGAGACCTCAAGAAAAAAAAGAAGTAAGCCAAGCCTGCTTCACTCTTCAGTGATGAACTGGAAAGCATAACAGACTAATGAAGATAACAAAATGTTATTATATATGGAAAATAAAATAATATTCAGTGAAAATGTAATCATCTACCTATGCCATGGCAGACCAAAAAAAAAAAAAAAA